GGCAATAGCTTCAGTTTCACTTTGGTGTCACCGGTTTCACTTTCAGGCCCAGGAGGGAAAGAAGAAAGATCGGGGTGAAGGGAGTGGGGGGGGGGGCAGGCTGTGTCAGGTGCGGCCTCCACCCCACTCCCCTCAGGGCCACTCGCTTCCTTTCCTGACCTTCCTTTGGTCTGGGCATTCTTGGAGTCAAGGTCAAGTTCTCTCTACATGCCCTTGGACAGGGCGAGTGACCTCTTGGCTCTGGGCTCCTTCTTTTGTGCTCCTTGCCCTCATAAAAGCGGGGCTGAATCATGTCCATCCCACAGGGTGCTGGGAAGATCAAAGTCTTGCTGACCCCAGCTAGTGAATGCTAGTGAATGTCGAGGACAGTCCCACAAAGTCCCCAGTGGAAGGGGGTGGGGCAGAACAGCAGGATATCGGCTTTCTTACCCAGCAAGGGACCCTTGGCCCAGAAACCACCAGGAAGAAGCTTCATGTGGCCTGAATCTAGGGCCTGGGTTGGGTGACAGCATCCCCTGAGACTTCCTGCCATGGTGGGCTCCGTGGTCTGGCAGACCCCAGCTGCTCTGCTTGCTTTCCAGCACACCTGCTTGCCTTTGGGACTGAAGTGTTTTCTCCCCTGCCTCACTCCCATCCTGCTCCTGCAGGATGGGGGGCCACAGCCTGGTACACAGGTCCACTCCCATCTAAGCCTGCCTGAGAGCCACTTAAGGTCAGGAGCTAGGCCCATTCACCTCTCTCCCCAGCACCCCACTCAGGGCCTGATTAAGGACTAGTCTGACAGGACAGGGGAGTCACTTGGGGATGTCAGTAACAGCTTCTGGGAGATAGTGAGTGTGTGTACATACATGAGAGAGCGTTTTTGTTTTTTCCTTTATTGAGTTGAGAGAGAGAGAGAGAGAGAGAGAGAGAGAAACATCGATGAAAGAACATCGACTGGCCACCTCCTACATGCCCCACACTGGGAATTCGGCCCACAACCTGGGCATGTGCCGTGACCGGGAATCAAACCAGCAACCTCCTGGTGCATGGGTCGACGCTCAACTACTGAGCCACACCTGCCGGACAGAGCGTTTGTATGTATTTTATTAACAGCCTTTATTGAGATATTATTCCCATATCACACTGTTCATTCAAAGTTTGCAAGACAGTGGTTTTTAGTACATTCACAACATTGTATAACCATCACCACTGCCTAATTCCAGAACATTCTCATCACCCCAGAAGAAGCCCTATCCCCATCAGTAGTCACTCTCCATTCCCCCACCTCAACCCCTGGCAACCAGGAATCTACTTTCTGTTCCTGTGGATTTACCTATTCTGAATATCTCACATAAATGGAACCACACACTGATGGTCTTTTGTGTCTGGCTTCACTGAGCATGGTGTTTTCAAGGTCCATCCACGCTGTAGCAAGTGTTAGAGCATCTCTCCTTTTCATGGCTGAGTAATATTCCAGTGTGTGGATGGTTTGTTTATTCATTCATCCATCCATAGACATTTGGGTTGTTTCCAGTGAATCATGCTGCTGTGAGTGAGGGCAGACTTTAAGGTAACCAAAATAGGTCTTGATCAGTGCATGTCCACCCACAATAAATGATGTATGGTATTTTCTGGGCACAAGAGGAGCACCCAGCAGAGGCAGCCTGGCACCAGGCTCTCCAGGTCTCTTCTGGGCTCGGGGAAAACCCTGTCCCCACCTCCACCCAGGATGGCCTGATTGTTAACCTCAGAATTCCAAACACAAGACTCTGAGAGGCTTCCAGAAGTTCCAAAGAAGAGCCAGTAAGGCTGGGAACTCAGCTCTGGAAAATGGCCCCTCCCCTTCAAAGAGGAGGATCACTGGGCTGGGGGTGGGCAGGCCAAAGGGAGAAGACGGGAGGGAAAGGAAGGGGAGGGGACAGATGAGAAAATAGGGGAGGGGAGAGGAGAGACTGGGAGGGGAAGGAGAGCAGGGGAGGGGCTTCCTCCATGGAGCAGGTGGGCGGGAGGACTCCCCGCACCGCACCTGTGCCTCGTCTCTCTCCTCCCCTTAGGCAGGGAGCCCCTCTGGAAGGAGGAGGGGGGGGGGGAGTCACACAGGATCCGATGCTGTGACTCCAGAGTCTCTTCCTGTTCTTTAATGTGGGGGTGAAGACCGGAGACAGTGCACCTCGGGTTTAGGCATCCCTATCGCCCGTGGGAGGTGGGGCCTCCCCAGCCCCTCCTCCACCCAGCTGCACCCCTCCCCGCCCCCATCTTGGGACCTCAGGCCACATCCTTGCTAACTCATCTCCCAGCCCTAGGGTGCTGAGCATCCCGGCGTAGTCCCCTCCCCTCTGTGGGCTGCCGGACCCCAAGAGCTCTGATCCCAGTCGCCCTGCCCCCTCCCCAGCTCAGTTCCAGGTGCCCGGCTGCCCACCGGGAGACGAAGTGCAGCGTCTCCTCATGCTCACTGGCAACTTGTTTGTCATCTTTAGGGAGACGTCCGTTCACATCCACTGCCCGCCTTTCAATCGGGCAGTTGTTCCTTGGTTGCCAGGTCCTAATGATTTTTCTTGTATTCTGGCATCAGACCCATCTCCCAAATAGGATTTACAAGTATTTTCTCCTACTATGTGGGGTATCTTTTCACTCTCTTTTTGCAACCAAGTTTTAAATTTTGACAAAGTTCAAGTTCACCTATTTTTCCTTTTACTGCTTGTGCCTATGTATCTATGGTGTTGAAGAACCACTGCCAAGTCCAAGGCCATGGGACTAAGACTATGGGGGGAAGTTAAAGCGGCAGATGTGCTGAGGGTTTACTGTGGAGGTCTGGCAGCCCCTGGGATGTTTTTCCTGAGCCTGAAGTTGGAGCAGAAGTTGGGGATGGAGATGCAAGAGAGAACCTTTCAGAGCAGGGAAGAGCAGGTGCCCGGCCAGGAAGACAAGGTAAGGGAGAGATTTGTAGCTCCCCCTCCCTCTCCTCCTCCCCAAGGACCCCCTGGGCAGCCCTTATCCCAACCTGGGTCCCCACAGAAGGAGGTGAGGGGATCTGAGTAAGTGGGGAGGCCATTTCTGGGGGAATGGCAGATGCCAGCCATCTTCTTTAGTCTGTGATACCCCCCTTCGCAGAGGAGGAAACTGAGGTCTACAGGAGTGTGACCTTCCCTGAAGCTGCAGAGCCAGGGGGCAGCTGGGATGCCATGCCAGTCCAGGCAGTCTCTCTTCTGCTGCCATGGGGAGGGTATTATGGGGTAGGAGACAGGGCTCAAGGCCTGAGTCCCTCTCACCTGAGGGCTCTGATTCTCCAGGTGCTTCTCTGTGGGCCTCCCTCTGTCCCCTGGGAAGCCTGGGCAGAAACTCGAGACTCAGGCTGCCATGAGGCCCAGGCCTCTCCCTCCCGCCCTCCTTCCTCTTAGAGAGCCATCATTGCCATGGGGACTGCAGAACAAGCAGGTCCTGTGCCTACCTGGTCTGTGGTTCAAGGTTCGGCCTCCAGCCTCAGGGTGGCCAGCCAGGGGCTGAACACCTGTTCAGCTACCAGTCCAGAAAGGAGGGGCTGGGGGCTGGAGCCCACTGTTTCTGGTTTCAGAATCCCTTCCCCTTCCTCACCCCTACTTCACCTCGAACCCAGCTTTCTGGGAAACCCTGTCACAGCTTCCTCTGAACTCTGTTAACCTGGATTCCACAGCCTGAGAGGGAGGCGGAGTTCCACATCCTGGGCCCGAGGCTTCCTGCCCTGCTTGGTATACACCTCCTCCCCTTGTGGCCAGCTGAGTGCACTTCTCCCAACTGCCCACCTTCCAGAAGATTCTGGGCTGCCCCTGCCCACACCCCACTGCCGCACGGTGTCCCAGGCTCTAGACACAGGAAGCCTAGTGGCTTTAAGCAGGGCTTCCTGACACACACGAGCCAGGGTCTTACCTCTGCTGCTGGGCAGCTGTGGCCTCCTACAGTGTCAAATTTGGGGAGGGGCTGGGGCTAAATCCGGCTTTCTCTCCTGAGCACTGTGGACATTGGGGCCCAGTCATTCTCTGTGGGGGGCTGTCCCTGGTACTGTGGAGTGTGGGGCAGCATCCCTGGCCCCTACCCAGTTGATGCCAGGAGCACCCCAAGTCGTGACAGCCACAGATGTTCCCAGACATCGCCCAGTGTCCCTAGGGTGAGGGGTAGATTGTCTCCATTGAGACCCTGTGGGCTAATGACAGCTGGGAGAGGACACAGCACAGAAAGGATGTACACATGGCCACATGTGTCACCTGAGATGTGGTGGGTTAGAACTGAGATGTGCTGAGGGCAAAACCCTGTATTACAGACTTCATAAAAAAGAAAAAAGTATGTAAAATACCACAGTAGTTTCTCATATTGATGACAAGGTGGAAGTGGTCATATTTGGGCTCTATTGTGTTAAATAAAACATACCATCAAATTACCTTCATGTGTTTCTTTTTCCTATTGTAACTACAGCTACTAGAAAATTGAGATTGCAAACCCACCTGCCTGGAATTGGCTTGCTGGTTCTGCAGCCCTTTTTTTCATGTTTCCAACCCCCCACCCCCACCCCGCCCTGGAACGCTGTTTGTTATGCTCATAGAAGGGAATGCGACCTGTCCAGGGGCCAGACTGATCCGGTCTAAGAATGCACAGGATGAAGGGGGTGGGCAGTCACTTAATAAATCAAACATTTGCACAGATCCAACCCATCATCTAATGAAGCTGAGTGATCACTTATTTTGTGGGTCACCACTGGGCTGTTGGGGTGAGCTACTGGCTCTGAGGTACAAACACCATGGAAAGGAACCAGGTGGGGACACGGGACAGCACGTGGTCATGTAAAGTGCTGTTGAGCTGCACAGACTTGTATTGACAACGTGTTTGAGATTTTCTTCTTGCAAACCAAGCACCAAAAAAGTGAAGAAAACACAAAACAAATAAAGAATACCCATTGTGCAAAATTCTAAAGCTTTTTTTTTTTGGACAGAGGTCAGAGAGGGGTGCTGGGGGGGGGGGGTCATAGGCATTGCTGTGTTCACAACATCCACCTTAACACAGTGGCTATCATCTCACGTACTTGGCCGTCCCAGGGTTTTTAAAGAACAGCCAAAGAAATCTTGACACATGTACAAAACACTCGGTCTCTCCTAAGAACCAGGGCCGAGGCCTGATGACAACTTCTGCCTGAATCCCTACCTCAGGAGACCCCCTAACCAAGGGCAGTCATGGAGTTTCACTAAAATGCCTGCCCCCTTGCAATACATTGCTGGGACAGGAAGCAGGTCCCTAGGTCTGCGGTCACATTGGCCAGGCAGTTAGGAGCAGCCAGTCCTGGACCATGAGGACCACAGTGACTGAATTAGCAGGTACCAAATTTGGGAATGGCTACTGAGGGAGACACCTGGAAACTCAGCTGTCAGTGGTTCAGACAAACTCTGGTGTGATTCCCCCCTTTCCAGAAGTTATGATGCTGAGTGGGAAGAGCTAGTTTCTCTCTACACCTTTCCAGATGTGCCAAGGAATCCTGGCAAAAACAACAGTATAGTAGAGAATGCAGATAGTGGCCCAGATGTTGTGTGTAGTTGAGGGCCTTGGGGTGGCACCTAGACCTCTCAATGCTTGTGGAGGGACCCACTTTCAAGTCACCCTCCTATTCCCCTTACCAACCCTAAATTCCACCCCCAGCTCCCTCCAACCCCCACCAATGTGGTCTTTTACTCCATGTAAATGGCAGCTGGTTCCACGCTAATGGGAACCCGAGATATACAGGACAGGCCCAAAGATGTGGCCCATCTGTGGTTCACCAGTGAGGGGCCCTTCCCCTCTGAGGAAGGTCCAGAGGGAGCTGGGGTACTCACAGAGCAACACCTTCATAACTTTTAGTTATCTTCTTGTTCTTTTCTAAATCAGGTGAAACTTTGGGGGAGGGGGTAGACTATGAAGTGGCAGAAACCTGGAAAGTTGGTTGAAAGAGCCACCAATTTGTCTTCTCTCTGGTGTCCACCGAAAAAAAAAAAGGAACACGGGAGACTAGAAGGGTCTCCCTAAGAAAAGGATCTAGCAGTTCCCACAGGGCCACATGCCCCTGCCTTCTGCTGCACCTTCTCCAGAAACGCAAGGCCAGCTTGGCTTGCACCAGGCCACGTCCCTCCGAGAACCCTTCCCTACAATTTGCCACAGATAAATATCAGCTTGTTTCAAGCCATCAGGATGCATTGAGAGGGGTGGCTGAGAGCTTTAACATGTCCAGAGTGCGGAGAAGGGGAGCCTTAGAAGCAGCCCTGACCTCCCCCGTTTCATACTTCTGAAGGCCCAGAGGTGGCCTTCTGGTCTCTGTCTGAGCCCTGAGGCAGAAAGGCTGGCCACCTCAAAGTACACAGGGACCAGGGCAACCTCCCTCCCGCTGTTTCAGTCACAACCAGCTGTGGACAACGGTTCAAGGGCCCGAAAGAGGGATGTGCCCTGGGTGATCACTTTTGATTCACTGGGTGAGCAGAGGTGACTGACAGTGCCACCCGCTCACGTAGGCAGGTGAGGGGGAGCACAGGCCTTATCTGCTGAATCTGCTGGGGGGTTCAACCGCACTGAGCTCTTGGAAACCCAACACTTCCTTTCTGCCGAGTCGAGTGTTGGCTCAGCTGCTACTACGAAGAGTCAGAAGTGTCTGCTCCTAAGGCACAGGAGAGGACCAGGCCCCTTTGGGGCAGGTCACACTCTGCTGAGGACAGGCAGGGCTGGCTGTACCAGGCTGCATGACAAGAGGCAGCAGTGGCCAGGGGCAGTGGACCTCATGACAACCAACAGCCAACTGCTATTTGGGCCTGCTGAGGGCCACCATTAAAGGGGCAGGTGCCAGGCAAGGGGATGACACACAGAAATGCAAGGCAGCATTTCCTGTTTTAGTGCAAGATGCCAATGCCTAGGGGTTCCCTGAGTCTTTGTCCCTTGAAAAAAAGAGCAAAGCCAGTTCCTGATGCCACCCCTACCCCAATTTCTCTGTGGCCCAGCTGGCTGGGCTGCCGCTGAGGGACACTGTTCCTCCTGGGGTTGGACCAGAGGCTGACACCCAAAGAACAAACAGAACAAGTACAAGGATCTCGGTTTGCTTGTTCTTTCCCTGTTTTTTTTTTTTTTTTTTTAAACCTAAGTAAGCAGGTTCCGAGACGACAACATGGGCAGCGTCACCCTTCCCCAGAGACCACGGGGCCCAAAGCTGCGACAGGTGGAAGAGGAAGTGAATGTTCCGCTGTGTGTGTCGTCTCCTCCGAGGCTCGCGGGAAAGGAGGGGAGGAGCTGGTCTGTCCTGGGCGGGAGGGCGGGTGGACCGACTCGGCCAGATCACCAGCAGAATCACACAGCAGTACGCGTGGGCGTGCTGGGCTGGTTCAGACGCAGCGTTTTACACAACCAGCCAGCAAAATCCACTTCTTCCACCTCAGACCGTTTGATGAAGCCATGGTTCTGAAAGGGAAGAAGAGGTGCCGTGAACAGCCTGGTGTCCACAGGGAGAAAGGGTCCAGGCTTCTGCTCAGATCTGGCAGGCCATCGGGGATCAAAACCCAAAAACAGAGAGAAAAAGTCCCCAGTGCAGAAAGACACACTTAGGACAGGGAGCAGGGAAGTGCCATGCCCAAAGCTACAAAGAAGTGGGACAGGGTCTCAGGGGACAATGGGGCTGCTCTGAGCTCCTTGCAGCCCAGGTCTCTGCCTCAGCACTGCTACACTGGGGCCAGGTTGATCCCTGTGGGGCTGTCCTGGGTACTGTGGAATGGCGAGCCCGCATGTCTGGCCCCCACCCATTCAATGCCAAGAGTACCCCCAGTTGTGATGATCATGGGGGTCAGCAGACATGGCCTAATGTTCCCTGCAGGCAGAGACCATCTGATCTGTAGCAGAACTGCCTGTGAAGATAGCAAGTTTCCTACAATCCCATCCAGTATGGCAGCCACCAGCCACAAGAGGCCCCTGGGCCCTTTCAATGAGGCTGTGAGGCCCTGGTTGGTTTGGCTCAGTGGTCATAGTATTGGCCCTTGGTTTGAAGGGTCACAGGTTTGATTCCTGGTCAAGGGCACCTGCCTGGGTTGCAGGTTCGATCCCCAGCTCTGATCAGGGTCATGAGGGAGGCAACCAATCGATGTGGTCTCTCTCACATCAATGTTTCTCTCTTTCTCCCTCCCTCCCTCTCAATATTAAAAAAAAAAAAATCCATGAAAAAATATCCTTGAGTGAAGATTAACAAAAAATATACATAAATAGATAGATATGGCTGTGAGGCTGAAGAGCAGATTTGTGCATTCCACTGTCTAGGGAATTTAGATAGCCTCGCTAGCTGGCGCTTCCAGCAGAAACAGCAGAGCACTAGAGCTTCCTGGTTCTGGGTGGGGTGGGGCAAACGGATGCTTTTCCGACCAGGGTGTGCCTGGAGGGTGGCCCAGGGCAGGAGGGCGGGGCCTCAGGGTCCATGGAGGGGTGCTGCCTCTTATGCAAGCTGGGGGCAGGCAAGAGCACCCTCATCTTCCTGAAGGTCGGTGCAGGCTTGGGTGAAACGCCAAAGAAGGAAACAGAACTCCTGTGGTCTAGGTGCAAAGTTAGCCCTGAAGAGCAGACAGTTTTATTTATTTATTTATTTAATTTATTTATTTTGTTCAGGTAGAGTGGGAGGGAGAGAGAGGAAGAGAGAGAGAGAAACATCGCTGTGAAAGGGACACATCCATCAAGTGGCTGCCACCCGCATGACCAACCAGGGCCGGGGACAAACTGCAACCGAGGCACGTGCCCTTAGCGGGAACCGAACTGGGGCCTCTCTGGACTGCAGGCCAACGCTCTAACCGCCGAGCCAAACCGGCCAGGGTCAGACAGTTTTACTAAGGCAGAGAGGCCCGGGAGGTTTTCCTACACAGGGTGAATGGGAGAGCTGGTGAAGGGGAGCTCTGTCGGGCATTTCAACATGAATGCGCTTCTCTGTTTCATGTTTGTATCTTTTATAATAAACATGTATCTTATATGATTCTGGAAAACCTCCTATGTCAAACACAGTAAGAAGTTTCTAGAATCAGGCAGATGCAGACCCCTTCCCACGCGGTACTCCAGGCTAGGTTTCCTATTTTGATCACAGCAAATGGTGACTACAACCGGGACACAGCCTGTCGCCACAACTAACAGTGGGGTGGGATTAGACAGGGTGCCGGGGCCTTCTCAGAGGAGGCACGGAAGGCAAGACTCACAGGCAGGGAGCACCGAGCCTTGGGAGGAACAGGCAAATTACACAAATGTCCTATGTAAGGTCCTGAGTGGAAGGCGAGTTTCAGTGGCCACTTTGGTTTTCAAGGACATTGAGTGGTGTGGGACATTAAGAAAGGCACCAACCCCATGGCCTCCCTGACCTGCGGGGGCTTGACAAGCCCAAGATGGGAGCAGTCCAGAAGCTTTAGAGCCCACCGTTCTCCAGAAACAACTGCAACCACTCATGGCTGGAGCCCTTATGTTCCCCCAGGAGCTGAGAGGGCAGAGATCACTCTGGATCATTCTCGCTTATGGGCCAGGAGACCCACAGGGGCTCTCCTGCTGGACACGCACCCCATGACAAGAGCTGGCTCAGGAGGCCTGGCCAGGATTTCCCTCTCCTGAGAAGGAAGGGGCCCTGGGTGGTAGCCTGCACCCCTGGTGACCCCAGAATCTGCAGCATCACTCACCATGAGCATCTTCAGATCTGCTCGCTCGGCTGGGTTCTTAATGAGGCTGGGGGTTCCATGAGATGGGCAACCAGACAGAGCATGGGGAGACAAGACAGGGCAGTTAGCTGGTGGCCTTGGGGACTTGCTACCACTCTACTGCCTGGTCCCCATGGGTCAGTGGTGTCAGGGCAGGATGCCTTGGGGGTGAAGCGCATGGGTCTGAGACCACGACCAGAGAGAAAGGGAGAGAAAATGGGAAACCCCAGCTACTGCTTGGTCAGAGGCCCAGCAGCAACTACAGCTCCATTTCCAGCAAAACCCCCAAATTTGGGAGTCTGATTGTCAAAATGGAACTTTTTCCTTCAAAAAAGCAGAACTGCTTAAATGCAACTACTCAAAGCAACGTGGGGCCCAATGGTAGCCCTTCGGACACAGAAAACCTTGCATGGAGATAAAAATGTTCACACGGACAATGGCTAATTGGATTTGTGCCACGCCGCATTGGCCAGAAGTAATGCAGAAAGCCTGTGGCACCTTCACCCCTGGGGCAGGTCTGCTGCTGTAAGTCATGCAGTCTCCAGGCACCAGGTTGGCATGTCCGCTCATCCTGACATGCAGGGTGGCCCTAAAGGTAAGTGGGGCGGTGCTGGCCCCTCTCTCCTGGTCTCCAGGCCACTGGCCCCAGGCCCTTCTTCAGAGGGAACAGCTGACCACCTCCTAGCACCTGGCTAGGAAGGCTTTTCAGACGCTGTTGGGTTGCAGGGCTCAGGGGATTGGGGGAGCCTGCTGGCAGAAAGCAAGGTGGGAACAGCTTTATTTCCAAAGTGCCTGTAATCCTGGTTCACTCCGGGTTTTGGGGATGAGCTGGGGATGGCAGCTGGACACCGTGACTTAGCAGCCTTGGAAAGAGAATCTGGGTTCTCAGGTGACCACAGGTGTCCCACCAGATGCTGCTGTCCACCCAGCATTCCTGAGCGGTAGGCTCGGCAGAGGGGTCTGGGCTGGGGCCAGAAAGGGACACATCTAGGTTGATGGCTGGGAGCGTGGGCGGCCCACTCCAGGAGACGGGGGGGGGGGGGGGGGGGGGCGGCTTCTGAGGGCCTGGCACCCAGCCCTACCCACCCAAGACCACACTGGAGGTTGTGGCACCTTACCATTTATTCACAAATTCCTGGAAGTCCTGGGTGAAGACGCCACTAGGCAGCTTCGGAGGGGGCTGTGGGAGAGAACACAGGTGGGAGTAGGACACTCACGGATGGTTCTGGAATTAGGAAGAAGACGCTTACTAGCCTTGCGCATGTGAGGGCAGCATGGCCCTTGGGGACCCTCAGGACACACCTCTCGGGGCCCAGTCCCTTCATCCTGCTAGGGGCGGAGGGGGCACCCCTCTCCTCTCCCATCCAGCGGCTTCTCGGCAGGCCCTGCCACTGGCTCTGCCAACTGGGTTGGGCTCTTCCACGGTTTTCTTTTGACAGTGCTCATCTGAGAATCACACTGGCTCTACAGGGAAGGAGAGCAGGGCTCACCTTCATTTTATGGACAAGGGTGGTGTCACTCGTCCGAGCCACCCACCTCTGTGGGTGTCTTGAATGAGCTAAAGGTCTGGACCAGAGGGTAGCTCTTTGCAGGGTTTAGGGCCTGAATGCTGGAAGAGCCTGAGGAGCTGGGCCTGACACACGTCCAAGGCTGGTGACGGTCATGTGCAGGATCAGGCCCGTGTCAGAGACTGTCCTGGTGAAAACCACAGGGCCTCCTCTTCAGCTCCTTCCACCTCCCCAGTCCCGGGACCCAGTCTTCCTGCTCAGGGAGGGAGGTGCTCGCTGGGTGGCACTTTCGAATACAGGCAGAGCTGTGTCACCAGTCACTCCACCCTGTTCTGTTGCCACCGACTGCTCACCTTGACACTCAGCCCTGGGCCAATCCCCATACCACAGGCAGCCCAGCTGCCCTGTTTCTCTGCCCAGACTCCAAAGGGTCATGGAAAATACATGTCAGCCCAGAGGCCCGGTGAAGGTGACTGGGCCTTGCTGAGAGGGAGGCTTAGGGGTCAGGTCCTGCTCCATCCCTTCCCAGATGCAGGCCTCGGAGAAGGTTGCTTCCATCCTTAGGCCTGTTTATGTCTGTACAATGGGAACATTCACACCACCCTTCCAGGTGCTCTGTGCCTTCTTCCCAGAAAAGAGTGGGCCCTGGGCTTTCCCTAAGGAAATGGGACTATTTATGACTCCATGTACACTGACTCAAGATGCTCAGAGAAAGAGATGCTGGGTGTCAGAGCTCTGGGAGTGGCTTAGCTCCTTGACCCAAACACTTGGCTACTGGCCTAGAAGGGAGAGGGCTGCGGTGGGAATTCTGGGTTCATTTTTTAAAAAAAATTTTTCTTTATTGATTTTTTTTTTGAGAGAGAGGAAGGGAGAGGGAGAGAGAGAGAAACATCGATGAGAGAGAACACTGAGTGGCTGCCTCTTGTATGCCCCCCACTAGGGATTTGGCCCACAACCTGGGCATGTGCCCTGACCGGGAATCAAACCGGGGACCTCTTGGTGCATGGATCGACGTTCAACCACTGAGCCACACCGGCCGGGCTGGGTTCATCTTTATAAATACAAAAACATGTCTCTTGGGGAGGGGTGGATTTCTGCAGCACAGCTAGAACACCACATGTTTTTACACTTGATAACCTTTTGAAAAGAATGGTCTCCATTTCAACAACTGAATTCGCCAGCATGAAGACGTGTCAAAGGGCCTTCAGGTACCCACCTCATTCACAATATAATCCAGCAGTTCGAAGATAGCCATAGCCGGTCGGCTATCCACCCCGTGACCTGCCCAAGAGAAAAACAAAAACGGGGGTGAGACAGGCAAGTGGCCGATGCATTTCTGTTGGGCACTAAGGTCTGAGCGTGCTGGGTAAGCCGGGAACTTTTTTCCCATACTGGCCGGAACCAGGGGAGGCTCCCTGGCCTGGCTACTAAGTTCACTTCCTAGGAAAGTAACTTCACTCCTAATGAATTAAAATAAATAAATAAAATAAAAGTAAAACACCAAAAGGAACAGGAGCATTTTTTGAGAAGTTACACATTTGGCATGGTGCTGCATCCAGGTGGTACGACCCCCTGCTTAGTGGCACACGGTGCAGTGTGGGGTGGTGCTGGTGTGCTGACTGCAAGCGAGGACAGCAGCATGACTGTGCATGGAGCTTCAGGTGGAGGCTGCAGTAGGCTGGCAGGGGGTGGCTGACCCCTGTCCTAGACCCAGCTGGCCAGGTCTGGGTTTGGCAATTGGACTTTTGCCTTCTGTCCCATCCTGAAATGGGCATGAAGGCTGGGGCAGGGGCTGGAGAAGGTGCTGGAGGGCCAGGGTGGCCTGGCATGACCCACCGTTCCTCCCAGCTGGGAAGGGGCCGAAGGGGAACACCAGGGAGGCCATAGGGGAGTTGGACTGGGAGGTGCGGGGGCAGAGCCTGGGGACACAGTTGGGGGCAAGATTCCAAGATTCTCCCCTTACAGGAAATCAAGACACCTAACCGTCTGGGTGCAGCCCTAGGAAAGAGGAAGGTCTAGACTTGAAAACACTGAAAATCACCATTTGACAGCCCATGTGTCTATCAGTGGTGAACAAATACACAAAATATAGTCCATCCACCCAGGGGAATCTTATTCAGCCATAGAAAAGTGTGAAGCGCAATACCAAAATCCACTAAATTACACGCCTGAAAAGAGAGAATCATATGGTACTTGAATTCTATTTCAATAAAACTGTTATGAAGCCAATGGACCATAATACACTGGACTCTCACTTAACTCAACTTTCTTCCTTTCAAGCACTGTTCCCAGGTTATGCCACCTCAGCTGCGACCCTCCCCGTCGCCACCCTCCAGAGTGGTGGAAACATCAGCCTGAACCTCTCAGCCTTCCAACTCATAGGCGGCCGCTCTTAGTACCAAGAACTGTCTAGGAGCCCAATGCCTCCAGCCTCTTGTCCCCTCCCTAAGGAAATTGAGTCCAGTTCCTTTCAACTGTGGGTGTCCCTGGAAGGCCTGGCCCAAACACAGCAGAACATTCAGGGCAGTGGCTAGGCGGTGGGCATAGGGAGTTCACTGGGCAAGCCTTTTGGCTTTTCTGTATGCTTGGACATTTTCGTGATAAAATGTTGGAAAATCCAACCCAACCAGTGGCTTGGCTGAGGGGCTGGTTTCTAGATCCCACCAGCTGGTGACAACAGGTGCAGCTGTCCCGGATGGGACAGGTCAGGGGCGCTGCTTCCAGCACGTCCCTAGAAGCCTTAGGACCATCTGAGGACTACTGACCGCAGTTAGCACGACCCAGGGGACAGGTGCTGCCAAGAAGGGCCAGAGGGGAGACAGCTGCCATCCCCCGGCATGGCATTCCCTACGCTGGTCATTGCCCATCCAAACCGGAAATGCCAGACACAGGCCATACCACTGATGGGGCGTCCAGGGGGTCTCGGCCGCGGTGAGATGCTGTGAGGCTCTCCTTCTGCCCCATCGACCATGGGCCGGCCAAATATGGCCTCCAGTTCCTTGGCGTCTGGCGGGGGGATGGGATACCTTCCAATGGACAGCTCCACCAGGGACAGGCCCATGCTCCAGATGTCTGACTGCACTGAGTAGTGAGTGCCTTGCAACCGCTCTGGCTATTAGGTGAGATAGAGAGAAAAGAAAGGCCCAGAGGGAGAAAGATAAACACTGGCACCTGGGGGCGGTGCACCAGATCAGGGGTGGCATCTGAGTGTCTCTCCACTGTTCCCTCACAGCCCTATCCTGACCCCTGCCACTCCTTTAGAGAAAAAAGTGATTCTGTCTCCTCCCTCCACCCACCTTGGGAGAGAGAAGCTTCCAGCCAGGGCTGACAGAAGCTCTTTAAAAACTCAAATCCACCCTGGCTGGTTTGGTTTAGCGATTAAAGGGTCGGCGAAAGGGTCTCGGGTTCAATTCCCGGTCAAGGACATGTACCTGGGTTGCAGGTTTGATCCCTGCCCCATACAGGTTTGTGCAGGAGGCAACCAATCGATGTGTCTCTCTCACATCAATGCTTCTCTCTTTCTCTCCCCCTCCCTCCCTCCCTCCCTCCCACCCACTCTGTGTCAAAGGAAAAATATCTTCGGGTGAGGATAACCAAAAACACAAAACCCAAATCCCTGGCACTTCTAAAAAAGGGTGACCAGCCCAAGAAAGACAGTGGAATGCCTCTTTGTTCATAGCAACCCTAAGACTAACTTATCAGAATCTGCTTCAACTATCACCCGATGTTTCCTAAAATACCCAAGGGCTAGCTTCTTGGCTCAGAAATTAACCAACTACTCTTCTTGACTGTGGGAAGGAACCAGGCAGGCATTCCCAGAGATAAACCTGAGTGAGAACATGGTGGAAATCAGAATTTCAGAGAGGAGAAACCCAGCAAGGAAGAGAAAGTATATCATGAGGACATGCAGGCTTTTGGAAAACTGGAAAATGGGGAAGAGCCAATGAGAGTGGGGGAGGGGAGGGCACGTGATGTTAAAACACCTCTCAAAGGACTTACAGACATGTAGGATCGAGTTCCCACGAAGGAGTTGGCCATGGAGTCGATGAGCTGCCCGCTCACCCCAAAATCGCACAGCTTGATCTCCCCTCTGGAGTTGACGAGGATGTTAGACGGTTTCACATCTGAGAGCAGAGCCAGCGGGTGAGGCGTGGCTCAGGCCCACCCACTGGCCCTAGAGGCCCGGGAGGGGCTCCTGTGCATCTTACCTCGGTGCATGATCTGGTGCTTTTCCCGGAGATATGCCAGGCCCCGCAGAACCTGCAAAGGAGCCACAGGGTGTGAGGTCAGCAGAGCAGTGCCATGTGGGGGAACCCGTTTTCAGGTGGGGACGAGCGAGAGGAGACAGGGATGGCAGTGACACCCGGCACTGAGGGGTACAGATGCCTACCTCACTGATTCTCACATGACCACCCCCCCACCCCCCACCCATCCAACCACCCACAAGGCAGACACTGCCATCTCCTCAGTCTCAGAGGAGGGGCTGAGGCCCATGGAAGCTAAGACAAGGCCAAGGCTCTGTTAGGGCTGTGAGTGCCCGGGGGCCGCCCTGCCTCCGAACAGAAGCCATACCTGCCCACCAGGCGTCATCTGTTGAATGCTTTGATGCTGGGGCTGTGCTAAGGAACCCTTCCAGACTGATGGGGTGAAGGGTATGGTGGCTCTGTCACCAAGTCAGAGAGGAAACACTCATGATACTGCGCTGGGGGACACTGTGTGCCTGGGACTACATCACCAGGGTCCCGTGCAACCTGGAACCTATATGGGGCAGGAAAGCGTTACCCCTATTTTATGGGCAAAGGGATGCCCCTTTTCAGCACACAGCCAATGGAGACTGGTGTCAGCACTCTCTCTCATTTTTTTTTCTTTATTTTTAGAGAGAGAGGAAGGGAAAGGGATAGAAACATCGATGAGTGAGAACATAGACTGGCTGCTTCCTGCAAGCCCCACCCTGGGGAGCAGGCCCACAACCTGGGCATGTGCCCTGACCAGGAATCGAACGGTGACCTCTGGTGCGTGGTCAACGCTCAACCATTGAGCCACACCGGCTGGGTGACACTCTCCTTGTTTAAAGGGGCTGCAGTGACACGCACCGCTGGCCACGTGGAGACGGTAGGAGTGAGAATAGAGGCCAAGCATGGGGCTAGGAGCACGCGCACACACCCAGTGCTGTGATGGCCGGGGGAGCGGCACTGCACACTCACCGCAATGCTGACCTTCCCCAGGATCTCTTCTGGAATTCTCTTGGCTTCTTTCAACACCTGGTCCAGAGAGCCACCGTCCTGGGGGCAGCACAGGAGAGAGAAAGCAAGCGTTCTGAGCAGGTGGCCTGGCAGGGCCACTGCAGAGACAGATCCCACAGGGACCCTCAAGTACCAGGTATAAAAATGCATTTCCCTGGTTCCTGGAAAGTGATGCTTAGTTTTCTCCATGGGAAGCAGAGTCCAGACCATAACTAAAGGCAACCCTTGGCCCAGGACAGCACATCTAGTTCAGAAGGAGAGTATCTGTGCGCTCCCCATGACTCAGCCTTCCTGACGTTGCCACGACAGCAGCAGGCCCGGCCACCAGGCTTGCAACTGGAGCCACCTCGAGGGTGCACTAGACCCATCCATTTCTGGGCCTGGGTTCTTGTTACAGCCCCAAGCAGGACAGGGACTGAGAGCAAAGACAATGCCTGTAACTGCCCAGTGCAGGAGAAAGGTGGTCAAGCCAACTGGCCTCTTGCCTGCTGCCCCCCTCCCTCCACCTAGTTGAGAAGGGACCTGCTGCTCAGGGGCTCAGAAGACACCTGGGGATGAAAGCTCTGCCCCTTCCCTTAGGTCTTGTCCTGTGCTCACTGCCATTGTGCATGAGACTGTCCCACAAAGAATTTGACACAGGTCATCCCAGGTGATCCCCTGACTCCACCCTGGGCGTGGCCCCAAATCTACCTGGCAATGAGGAAATGACAGAAATCAAGCGTCTTGTGCAAAGTTGTCTGCTAAAAATCTGGAAACCAAAACTCAGGGTGTTGTTAGTTCTGGCTGGGTGCCTCTTCAGAGGTGGGGCTCTGAGGACATGTCTGGCGGGCCCCCTAGGACTTTAGGTGGGCCAAGTTCCAACCATGGGCCTGCCTTCGTCTCGTCTGCACTCCAGGTAGGAAAGTGGAGCTGAGGCTCAGGGGTTAAGTGGGGCCAGAATTTGAACTGGTGGCAGGTGGCCCTGGAGCCTGCACTTCCTCTACTGCACTGCTCTGGGAGTCCCACAGGTTCGGCTTCCTTGGGGTATCTTCTGCGTCACCTAGGGCAGGGAGAAGCCTCTGAGATGCCCAGGTCTCCCCTCTCTGGCACCCCAGCTGTGTTCGTGGTGGAGACTTTTAGAAAACCCAAAGTACTTTGAAGCTTCAAGAATGTGCGTGACTCTGTCAACAAGTAAAGGACCCAAACTTGTAGAGTGTGGGTGTGGCCAAGGAGGAAGCCAGGAAGGCGAACCTGGTCTGACCAGGGTGCGCGGCCCAGCCCACTCTACCTGCAGGGCAAGATGGAAATTCCTTCTATTCTTCTCATTTCTTGTTCTATCAATCAACCTTAAAAGAATCTAAAAGTTTTTTGAAACCATAATCCCTGTTCCCTAACATAGGCCCTTTCATTATGAACTTTCATAGAGTTGCAATATGTTCACTGAATAAGAACACTCAGGGAGGACATCTTCAGAGAGGCTACGGTGGGCCAGGCACCATGCTGGGGTCTCAGGAGTTAACTTAGAGCACCTCCGTGAAGGACACTAAACACTACTGCTCTCTCTTACAGGGTCTCCCCCTCGGCACTGGAACACTGGGGCTGGGCCATTCTTGGTGGGGGCTATACCGGGCACTGTGGGGTGTTGAGCAGCATCTCTGACCTCCACCAGCATCTCCCTAGTTGTGATGAGGTCCCAGTGTCCCCTGCATGAGATCCCCTGGTCTAGAGCTAAGAGGGTAAGTCATTTGCTCAAGTCACATGCACAGGATGTGGTGCAGGAGATGTCACAACTAGGTCTTTTTGACCCCAAATCCGTCTTTATGCATGACCATACAGTTTCATTTTGTGTGTAAGTGTTTTAAATGTTATCTTAAAATCTTGCTTTTATTAAGCAGGTAGTACATGAACACATTATTTTTATAAAAATTTAAATGTAGAGAAGTAACACTCTGATCCCCGTGATTCCACTGGCCTCCCCAAAAGTGTGACTTATAGTCTTTCAGATCTTTCTGTACATTTGCATACACATCCATACGCACAAGGAAATATAGAGTTTTAAGCATTTATATTCATGGGTTCATATCATGCATCTTTTCCTCCTCGGAAATTTTCTGAACAGGTTAACACAGTACGAATTCAGTTCTCACTGCAGAGTGGCCGGTGGCATTCTTGCTCTCTGTCCCTACTGACAATGTGATTTTTGTTGTTGTTATTAATCCTCACCTGAGGATATTTTTCCATGGATTTTTTTTTTAAAGAGAGAATAAGAGGGACATAGAGAAAAACAATGATGTGAGAGAGACACATCAATTGGTTGCCTCCTGCATAACCCTGACCTGAGCTGGGGATCGAACCTGCAACCCAGATGCCCTTGACAAGAATTAAACCTGCGACCATATTTTTTTCCTTCACTAGAGGACATTTTTGCATTTATCTTCAGATAGAGCGGAAGGGAGGGAGGGGGGAAGAGAGAGAGAGAAACATCGATGTGAGAAATACACACTGACTGGTTGCCACCCGCTCAACCCCAACTAGGGCAGGGACTAACTGCAACCGAGGTACATGCCCTTAGCGGGAACCAAACCCAGGACTCTCTGGTCCGCAGACTGACACTCTAACTGCTGATCCAAACCGGCCAGGGCTAACCTGCAACCCTTTGGTCCGTGGGTTGACACCCTAACCACTGAGCCAAACCAGTCAGGGTGTGTCTGATTTTTTATTACAGAATGGGGGGGGGGTGCATTCTTCAGGGTTTGACTAGAGTCTCTGAGTGGTCAGTAAGCAGCTCCCCAGCTACTCTGCTCTGAGATACCCACTGTCCCCTGCGTCCATGCCTGAATTTCTCCCCTAACAGACCTAGGCCACTCAGCAACTGCCAGCCCCGCCGTCCTCAAACCCCGAAGGCCAACACACTCTGGCCAGGTGAGGCATAACTTTCTGCGTTGAACCTAAGCTGTATTATCAATTAGCGGTCTTTTCTCAAAAGCTGCAGCTGGAACCTTCTGGAGGGGAAACAAGAGTCAATTCCCACATGACTTTGCATGAAGATGAAACATCACCATCCATCAGCAAGAAGTTCCAAAAGATGGGATATAAGTGAGATGTCATGGTGGTAAAAAAAAGAGAAATTAATATCCTGGCTGGGTAGCTCAGTTGGTTAGAGCATCGTCCCCATATGCCAAGATTGTAGATGCAATCTCCAGTCAGTGCACACATAAGAATCAACCAACGAATGCATAAATAAGTGGATCAACAAATTGATGTTTGTTTTCTCTCTTAAATCAATAAGTTAAAAAAAAAAAAAAAAAAAAAAGGTTGGTTGAGCATTACTCCGTGGACCAAGAGGTCACCAGTTTGATTCCTGGTCAGGGCACATGCCTGGGTTATGGGCTCGATCCCTGGTGGGGGACATAAAAGAGGCAGCCAATCGATGTTTCCCTCTCATTAATGTTTCTATCTCTCTCTCCTTTTCCCTTCCTCTCTCTCTAAAATAAATTTTTAAAAACATTAAAGAGAAATAATTGTTCAATTAACAAATAACTTAAAATGAGAAAGGAAGGTGACAGAAAAATGGCCCCAGTGACAATGGTGATATTAATATCCTGTGTGGCTTGGGCCAGGGGAAGGTACTACCACTGCCCTTGGCTTGACAGGCAAGAAGGGGTGAGAATCTCATCCAGAGTCATACGCTGAGAGGTACGTGTTGGGGCTGAAGCCTGACCCCAGGGCGCCATCTACACCGCCATGCGGGGTGCCCCACAATATGGTACATGAATGCACAAAGCAGCAATGCCCCACTAACTGGGAAAACTTACATATATGTGGATCAATTCTGGAGGGGTTTATTTGACATAAAAATACTGTCAGGACCCTGGCTGGTGTGGCTCAGTTGGTTGGAGCACTGACCTGTGCACTGAAGGATTATGGGTTTGATTTCCAGTCAGGGAACAAATCTAGGTTTCAGGTTCGATCCCTGGTCTGGGAGCATACAGGAGGCAACCGAATGATGTTTCTCTCTATATCAATATCTCTCTCTCTCTTATCAATGGGAAAAAAAAGTACTATAAGAAGTGGCGACAGCAAAGGCCCTTTTGTTGCTTTAATGTCATTTTGTTCCATTCATGCCTTCCTCACCAAGTCCCCTGTTCTAAAGGCTCATCTTAATCTTGAAAATCAGTGGCCTCCAAGTTTTTATTTTTAAATATGTTTTTATTGATTTTAAAGAGAGGAAGGGAGGGGGGAGGGGGGGAGAGAAACATTGATGTGAGAGATAAACACTGATCAGTTGCCTCCCGTACATATCCTGACTAGGGATTGAACCCCCAACCTGGGTATGTGCCCTAATAATCAAATCAGCAACCTTTTGGTGCACAGGATGATATTCAGCCAATTGAGCCACACAAACCAGGGCAGTGGCCTCCAAGTTTTATGAAACAGAACTCCTATCAGGAGAAGGCGAGAGAGTACAGGCCTCATCTTAGCATGTCTTTTCATTTGGGCATTATATATAGGTTCTACTGTCCTTGTATGCTCATTATAAAAGCAAACCAAAAAATCCAACTAGAAATTTTTAAAGGATGAGCACAATAAATAAACCAAATGGCTAGCAATTGCCCCCTGCCTCCTGGTGGGTCGGACTGTGTGCTGCTGGGAGGTAGACACCTAGTGCTGGAAACCGATGGTTTACATTCACCAAGAATAGAAAGGGGAGTGGAGGGGTGCCAGACTGTGCTGCTGCTCCCCATTTTCTGCAAGGAAAAGAGGTGCCTTCAAATTCTCATGATATTCAGGGAGAACAGGTAAGGGTGCCAACAGCACTGGAGAGGAGGGAAAAGAGAGGAGGGAGAAGAGGTGGAGGGGGAGAAGGGAGAGCAGGGAGGGGGAGGAAGGAAGAGGAGCTACAGTACAGAGGCTCCCCTCAGATCAAAAATTGACTTCCGTCCTTTCCCCTCCTTGATTCTTGTCTACACAGTGACTTTGCCCTACAGGCAGGCAGATATGATCTCCCTCTCCTAGGTGAGGGTGCTGCCTGATGGGGATCTCCATGCTAGGTAGAAGCAAGGCAAGGGGGTGGGGAGCACCTTCTAGTGGGCACTCCCTCTGAGCTGTTACCCCAGGAAGCTTGCTCACAGTGCATTCCTTGCAAGCACTTGCTCAAATTCGTTTCCTGCCTTCATTACAAAACTGTCAGGCGACAGCACATTTGCAAGGTGTAACTGAAGCCGGCAAGCGTGTGCCTAAAGCCACGTTGCATCCTGGTTTTGCAAGGGCCCCGCCAGGCCTGAGCCCATCCGGGTAGCAGGCAGTCTGGTACCTGCTCAAGTGGGTTTGGCAGAGGGTCAGAGACATTTCCCCCCAAGGCCTTCAGCTCTGACCACTTCTGCTTTCGTTACACCCAATCCCACCCACTTCTGAGCTACAAGACCAGAGTTTCTTAACCAGGGGGTATAGCCAACTCCACCGTGGTGGTTTTAAAAAAAGATGGGTGCCCATGCTCCACCCCAGAGCTTCTATCCACAGATCTGATAGAACCCAGGTCCTATCTTTAAAATAGTTCCCAAACTGCGTACTCTCTTTTGAAGGCACTTTGGAAACATCCATCAAATTTTCAATGTCATGTACCCTTGGGCCCCCCAATCCCATCGGGGATGCTTGTATCCATATAAAAACATTCAAGGCAGCATCATTCAAAACAGGGCAGGGGTCAGAAACAACTTCAGTGTCCACCAACAAGAGTTTAGTAAATTACCTTACAGGTATATGCAGATGCCAGAATACTAGACAGAGGGAGAAGAGCTGGCTCGATATGCTGACAGAAAATAATTTCTACCTTGTACCCAGTGAAAGAGCAAAGTTGGGAGTAGGGCGTCTGGCGTTTAAAAACGAAGGAACTCACCCAGGCCAATTTGGCTCAGTGGCAGGGGTGGGGAACCTTTTTTCTGCCAAGGGCCATTTGGATATTTATAACATCATTTGTGGGCCATACAAAATTATCAACTTAAAAATTAGCCTGCTATATTTGGTCAGGCTAATTTGGTGAGGCGTGTGATGTTAGCTGGTACTGATTTCACAGGTTTTATACAGCCTGCAGGCCAGACATTCCCCACGCCTGGTCTGAGTTTCGGCCTGTGGACCCAAGGGTCGCAGGTTTGATTCCTGGTCAAGGGTATGTACCTGGGTTGCAGGTTCTATGACGTGGGAGGCAACCAATCGATGTGTCTCTCTCACATGGATGTGTCTCTCTCTCTCTCCGTCCCTCCCTTCCACTTTATCTAAAAATCAATAGAAAAATACCATTGAGTGAGGATTAACAACAACACAAAATTAAAAAAAAAAGAAGGGCCCTGGCAGGTTTGGCTCTGCGGTTAGAGCACCGGCCTGCAGTCCAGAGAGACCTGGGTTCGGTTCCTGCTAAGGGCACGTAGCTCAGTTGCAGTTTGTCCCCGGCCCTGGTTGGTCGTGAGGGTGGCAGCCACTGGATGTGTCCCTTTCACGTCGATGTTTCTCTCTCTCTCTCTCTCTCCCTCCCACTCTATCTGAACAAAAAATAGAAAAATGTCCTTGAGTGAGGATTAAAAAAAAAAAAAGAAGGAACCTATACATGTAAGCTTGCATGGCACTGACTGTTTCCAGGAGGGATGCCTTGGAAAGAGGTGTGCTGTGGTCTCTGAGGACAGGATACCGAGGGACACAGGCAGAGAACCTCCTTTGTTTTCTTAAAAAATTTTTTTCTTTATTGACTTTAGAGAAAGAGATGGAAACATCAATGAGAGAGAACATTGACTGGCCGCCTCCTGCATGCCCTCCACTGGAGATTTGGCCAACAACCTGGGCATGTGCCCTGACCAGGAATCGAACTGGCAACCGCTTGGTGCATGGGTTGACACTCAACCACTGAGCCACACTGGCTGGGCGAACCTCCTTTTTTTATGTAATTTTTTTTAATCCTTACCCAAGGATATTTTTTTCCATTTATCTTCAGAGAGAGAGAAACTTCAGTGAGTGAGATACATCTATTGGTTGCCTCCTGCATGACCCTGACCAGGGATGGGTACGAAACCCGTGACTCTTTGGTCCACGGGCCATCATTCTAACCGCTGAGCCGAACCAGCCAGGGTAGAGAACTTCCTTTTCACCAGCCACCCTCTCATTCTACATGAACCCTTTGTCCTGTCACATCTCCCTGGTTGCAAGCCCGGGTGGCTCTGGGGACACTGGCTGGGCCCCTGGGTCCAGGGTGCTCTGCCGTGCTTACCATGTGCTCCATGCAAATGCTGATCTCGCCGTCGCTGTAGAAGGCCCCATAGAAGCCCACAATGTATGGGGAGTTACACTCGTGCAGCACCTGCAGCTCTCGGATGATCTGGTTCCGGATGGCCGGTTTGATCTCCAGGTGAATTAGCTGCAAGGGAATGGAAAGTGGGTTTAAGAGCAGGCTGCTGAGGGGCGCCATGTGGGGGTGACTCCAGTCCTCTGCACTTAAGGTGCACACGACAGCGTTCAAGACCAGTCAGCAAACCATTCCTAGGTATCCATCTACCCAGAACTGAACACACATATCCATGCACACACATGTACATGTGTTCACAGCAGTATGATTCACAACTACTAATACTTGGAAGCAACCCAACAAAATGTGGTCCATCCACACATCGGAATGTTACTCATCCACGAAAAGGAGTGAAGCACTGACACTCATTACAATGTGGATGAAACGGACACACGATGCTCAGAAAGAGAAGCCAGACACAAAAGGCCACATAGTGTGTGATTCCGTTTAAGTGAAATGTTCAGGACAGGCAAATCCAGAGACAGGAAGCAGATTGGTGGTTGCCAAGGGCTGGGGCTGAGACTACTTTGGGGGTGATGGAAATGTTCTAAAATCGGTGATGGCAATGGATGCACAATGCTGTGAACACACTAAAAACACTGAATTATACACTCTAAAAGGGTAAACTGTCCAGTAAGTGAATTGCATTTCAAATAAAGTTGTTTAAAAAACCCATGAATAGAGCAAACATTTTTCAGCTGGTTACAGGGAAAGCTCTGTTCAGAGGAGCTTTCTTCCCAGCCTTTCCCAGGACCCAGCCCAGGGAATGGCCTGGCAGGGGATTACTTCACCACTGCTCAGCCCCTCATTCAGGGGTGGGTTTCTCTGGAGCCCTTCCCACCTCCAGGCTCGAGACAAAAGCAGAGAGCCTCTGGTCACCTCCTGAGGATCCTTGCTGCCCTTCCACTTGAGTTCAAGCCAGCAGCCAGGATTGTCACCAAATTTATTACATTTCAAAAGGTGAGAAACCAAAGGACTGTCCACAGACATGCAGAACAGAGAGCAGACAAAACGCCCGGAGCAATGCTTAACTATAAACCCTAAGCAAGCCAAGATCCACTGCCCAGAAGCAGAGTGAAGGTTGTGGGTCCAGGTCTAAAGCCCAGGACTTAAAGTCCTAGATGCTCTAGCTACTGTGATACGTTAAGAAAAAGATGTGCTTTATACCCCTTTGCCAGAGAGCCAGAGCCAGATTATAGGTATCTGAAAGTGATTGCCATCAACTCCAACATTTACATAAAGTTGGTCACAGCAGAGGTCAGTGATGAGGAGAAAGATGGCAAAGATGACCCTGCTCAGAGACATGCCATCAGGAGGGAAGAGAAGCAGGTGAAACAACCCCAGTATGGTGGAGGTGCCCCAATGGAGGAATCATGGAGAGGTGATCTGGGGCTCAGGTGACACTGAGGCCAGCGCTGCAGGCAGAGGGACAAAGAACTGCCTGTTCAAGGACACCAAGGCACAAAGGGGCGTGTACTAAGTACACGTTTTTTTTGGGGGGGGGGGGCACCACCTGCTCACAGGCCCATGCCAATGACCCTTGTGACCTTGAGAACTGTGGCAGGCCCCAGCAGCACGGAGCCTGGTGCCCCTATCATGCCCAGGCAGTGCCTCCTTGACTCGGACCCTCCAGCCCTCAGGGCTCCTCAGGCATTTGGTTCTCCACCCAACCTAGCCTGCAGAACCCAGCCCTGGCTATGGTTCCTGGGACACTGCCCACTTCCCCCTGCCACTCCAGGATGGCATCACACCAGAGCTCCAGTATGTTCTCTCCTTCGGTGGCACTGCATCTGTGAGGAGATGCCCGACAGCACGTGCATATGTGCTTTGTTTTTATTTTTAATCCTTACCCGAGGATGCTTTTACATTTATCTTCAGACAGAGCAGATGGGAAAGAGAGACAGAAAGAGAGAAACATCGATGTGAAAGAGACACATCAACTGGTTGCCACCCGCATGACCCCAACCGGGCCGGGGATGAACCGCAATGGAGGTACATGCCCTTCGCTGGAATCGAACCCAGGACTCCTTGGTCTGCAGGCTGATGCTCTAACCGCTGAGCAAAACTGGCCAGGGCTGCATATGTGCTTTGAAGGGGTGAGATGCTGGCTCTGAAAATGGAGCTCTGACATTTTCATGGAAGATGGGAGGCTGATGGATGGACAATGCAGGGTGATGGACACCTGGGTTGCCCAACAGAAATACACCACGAGCCACAAATGTAATTTAAAAATCCTTTAGCTGCCATATGAATAAAGTGAAAAGGAGCAGGTAAAATTAATTTTTCATGTCTTTTGTTTAACTCAATGTAATATATCAAAAAAGTATTGCCCTGGCTGGTTTGGCTCAGGGGTTAGAGCTTCAGCCCACAGACCAAAAAGTCGTGGGTTTGATTGCAGCCAAGGACATGTACCTTGGTTGCGGTTCGTCCCCAACCCCGGTTGGGGTCATGCAGGAGGCAATCAATCGATGTGTCTCTCTCACATCAATCTTTCTCTCTCTCTCCCCCTCCTGCTCTATCTGAAGATAAATGGAAAAATATCGTCGGGTGAGGATTTAAAAAAAAAAAAAAAAAGTAGTCACATGTGATGAATGTAAAAACATTAATGAGTTGTTTTTTTCTTCCTTTTTTTTTTTTTTTGAGAGATAAACATAAACGTCAGAGAGACATATCCATTGGTTGCCTCCCGCACGACCCCGACCAGGGCCAGGGACCAAACTATAACCGAGGCACATGCCCCTGATCGAAATCAAACCCACGACTCTTTGGTCCCAAGGCTGACACTCTAACCTCTGAGCCAAACTGGCCAGGGCATAAGTTTTTGGTTTTTTTTCATACAGAGCCCTTGAAATCTGGTGTGTTTTTTTGCACATGTAGCACACCTTGATTCAAACTGACCACATTTCAAGGGCTCATTGGCTGTGTCTGACCCAGGGTGGCTCTCAACCAAGAACCTGAAAGGAGCCACAGGCGAACGAGCAGCAGGGGAGTGAGAGTTCACCAGGCTTTAGAGAAGAGGTGGACAAAACTGGGCAGAACTGGACAGGATCCCAGAGGTCCTGGAAGCCTGGAGTGGTGTGAATGTGGAACAAAGCCCCAGGAAGTGAGAGGCTTTCAGGAATGATGTGGTAAAGAGGGAACATAGGGGCTGCTGCTACGTGATCTGCTTTAATGGGTCCATTATATATGGGGCTTGTAAAGCAAACCTTCTGCATTGAGCAGGAGCCAGCACTGACGGTATGCAGAGAAACAGCAGGAATGGGAAGGCAGGGGCATGTTTCTGAGCACATGTGCTTACAATTCACCTTGGTGGCAACCCTGGTGGGGACAGGGTAACTGCTCCTACTGCACTGATGAGAAGTTCAGGTTCCAAGACATTAAATTTTATTCCCAGAAACACACAGCTGGTGAGCAGTCAGGTCAGGATTGGGGCTAAGCCCACAGACTGCCAGAACCCACAGTCTTTCATAGCACTATTCTGGGGCCAATCGAGCCCCAATTGCTAATTAAATCAGAACGGTGCTGGGAGTTCAAACTAAACACCGAGCCTGTCTAAGAAGTTTAAGGCAGTTTCGACTGCAGGATAGGGGATCTGAACAGGGGGTGGAGGGTACAAACTGGGGAAAGAGGGACATGGATTCTGGAGGTAAAACCCTGACAGCTTCCCCAAGGGCAGGGTCAGCCATGAAGGTTCCAGTCTAATTCAGATAAGACCCAACCCAGCCTGTTTTCCCACCTGTAAAATAGAGCGGTCACTCCATTTAAATGGGCACATGTGTCAAGGTTTTAGAATTGGCTTTGACATAGGGCAATCACTTGAAAGATAGCAGCTAGTATTACTATGTGGCCTTGGGCAGGTCACATGACCTTCAGTGTAGAAGCGCACATTCCTTTGCTCCAAGTAGAGAGAAGGGTGTCAAGGGAGCCCCGCTTGTGTAACAAACATGTTAAACTCTTCGAAGATCTCCCCTGGCCCAAGTAATGCAGTGGTTTTGTTCCTAGGTCCCTCAGAAAGATGCAGGAGTTGGAGAGCCATGCTAAGTCAAGAAAACATTTATAAACAAGCCTGACTGTAGAAATTGAGACTGGTTTTCTTGGGCCTTACCAAACTGGTCTTGCTGCTTCCCCAGCCCGTCCTACTGGTTAGGATGATCCTCTGCCAATCACAGGGACTGGAAGGATGCTGGCCCACAGAGCAGGAGTTGTATAGGTGTCCAGGAGCTCCACCCAACCTTCACCCTCACACCTGCTGGCAGACTGCCTTTGGAGATCTGATAAGCCTACACACTTGGAATGTATGGAATTCATACCAGCCTTCCCGGGAAATTCGGAATTCCAGCCAGGGCAGTGGAGGAAGGACTGAGGCCACTGTTTCTTAAAAACCACTTTGTCTTGGTAATTTTCCCATCTGTGCTCTCAAATGAATAGAGGCAACAGGCCTCCTGGGTGGACTGGCATTCCAGATGCATTACAAGGAACCCGTGACTCCCACAGACCGGTTCAGATCTCCTGGGCCATAGGGAGTTACAGCCCTGGACCACACAATGCCCAGGTGGACAGCCTTCTCATTCAATGTATTTGCCAAATGCCTGCAGGTGCCTGTGCTGGTCTGACTCTCTGCTGGGAGGAGGTTAAAATATACAGGGAACAAAATCTGAGGTCCTGACCCTCATTTTTTGGACCTTACAAAAACAAACAAACAAACAAAAAACCCATACCTTTTTATTTTGAAAGAATTAAAGAAGCACAGGGAAGTTGCAAAAGCAGCAGAGTCCCATGTACTCTTCCCCCAGCTTCCCCAACAGTGACATCTTCTATGATGAAGGACCATACCAGGAAACTGACACTGGGAGAGTACCACCGCTAACTTGACTACAGAACTTATCTATCCTAGTTTTAAACTCTTAAGACTTGCTACAGAGTCTATAGCTATAGTACAGACAAACTCCCAGATTCACGTTTATACAAGGCATGCTGGGAACTCCTGGAGGATTCCGAAGCTGGCCTGAGAGAACCCCTGGTTCTCTGATACAAACTCTGGCCAGCACTGTTCTCAAGCACTGCCCCCCACCCTACCCAGCTAGAACAAAGTACCCCCCCAGTCACAGTCTGAATCTTACACCTGCCTTTTATTCCTGGTGTTTGAAGCAATGGCAGACCAGAGATTTCTGGGGCTGTTCTGGTTTTGAAAAGGTTGCCTGTGCTAAGGGAACAGAAATAGGTTTTAGTAGGGAGGGCAGTGCTCTAGAGGCAGGAGAAATAGCTACAGAGCTAAATCCCGATGGAAACCAAGCACATCGTTCCCAGGAAAGGTGGGACGTGTACGGATCCACCAGGCATGGGGTGGTCAGGCTTCTGAGAGTACAATTTGGAAATGACAGGACACTGGGCTTCCAGAAATATGCAGCTTTCAATATCTGAAAGAACACGATAGTATAAGCTAAACAATTTGTCAACATGAAGTCCTCACAGTTACGTTTAGAAGCCACTGTCGCCTGTCTGGTGTGTCTCAGTGGACTGAGCATTACCCCATGGACTGAGAGATCCTGGTTTGATTCCTGGTCGGGGCACATGCCAGGGTTGCAGGCTCAATCCCTAGTAGGAGCATGCAGGAGGCAGCTGTCTGATGTTTCTCTCTCTCCCCCCCTTCCTCTCTCTCTAAAGAAATCAATAAAAACATATTTAAAAATAAAAAAGACGCTACTGTTCCTAGATGGTCACATCCTCCTCTTCTCCACTCCCTATTATCTCCCAGGGGTTATGTCCGCATGTTTATCGGAAGGCTGCACTGTGGCAGAGGAGCCCAGATGAGGGAGGCTCGGGACTTCTCAGAGCCAAAGTTTGTACTGAAGGGTGGAGTGATGGCTGATTTAATGTGCCCACAGTACCCAGCTATCTGGTCAAACACCAGTCTAGATTTCATTGTGAAGGTAATTTTTTAGTTGTGATTTAATATGAAAATCATCTGACTTTGAGAAAAGCAGACAACCCGCCCATAAGTGGATGGCCTCATCCACTCAGTTGAAGGCCCTAAGAGAAAAGACTGAGGTCCCCCAAAGAAGAGGGACTTAGGTCTCCAGATGGCCTTCAGACTTGAGCTGCAACATCAACTCTTCTCCAGGACTCTAGCCTGCTGGCTTGCCCTGCAAATTTAAGACTTACCATGATCACATAAGCCATTTCCTTAAAATACCTCTCCCCCACCTCTCACACCTTTGCTTCTCTGGAGAACTTGGACTAATACAGGTGGTTTAGTTACCCACTGCCCAGGGACCATCGCAACAGAGGCCCTGTCTTGGTCTGCAGTGCTTTCTCCTGGTTGTGAAGTTAGGGTGATGCCAGTTCTAAGGAGACTTGACTCTCTACCTTTTTTTCCAAAAACTCCACTCAGCTTTCTGGGAACCTGAATTTAAGCCATCCCCAAAGGAAGGCAGAAGTCAGTAATGGAAGGGAAGAGCTGCTTGAGGCAAGCCAGCACTGCTGCATTCTAACTAGAAGCCGAGCTCTTTTTCAGGAACAAGAACACACTGCTGATGGGAGAGCTTCTGAGCCCAGGAGCCAATAAGAAGGCAGAGACTGGCACCTTTCAAATTGCTCTCCTATCTCCAGGGGGACCTATCCCCACCACATGCCGCCCACAGAGCATGGAGACAGAATGCCTGCCACTGGCCACCTCTCACCTTTCTTGCCATGATGAGGCCTGAAGGTCTGTGCTGGACCTTGGTGACCACACCACCGTTCCCGGCTCCCAGCTCTGAGATCCTTTCAAAGTCATCATCCTTGAGCTCCCCAACCTTGGCCTTCTGGGTGAGAAAGGCTTCTAGCCGCTTCTTCTGCTGCTCGTCAAGCTCTAGCTCTTCTAGCTTCTTCTGGAGGTCCACCAAGTTTGCTCTATAGAGACACAAAGGCAAGGGTTAGTGAAGAGTGTGCGAGCTGTCAAAATGACTCAACCTGAGCTGAGGGTACCATGTGGCAGTGTAGCCAGGAGAATGCAGAGATGAATCAGACTTGATTCTTGGGCTTGAGAGGCCGATGATCTGGCAGAAGAGAAAGACAACTTGCAGACACACAGCTGACCAGAAGAGAAGGCTGGCTCCCCTAGAACTGAGGCCACCATTTCTCTCCCTGCTCACAAAGGTTAGGAGACCTTAGGACCAGGAGGACCAGCTCTGGTTCAGTGGCCCTGGTATCAGACTCAGGAGCCCTTCTTCCTGATACAAGGGCTCCTGACTACTCTGGAAGGGGACATGGAACTGGGGAGACATGACTGGGCATCAGACAAGAGAAGGTCTGGGCCAGGACACCTGTCTTTGTGAGGATGGAAAAGTGAACTCGTTTTCAGTGGCCTCAGAGCAAAGAGCAAGAACCAATGGGCAGAAGACAGAAGTTATAACATACATGAATTACACATGGGCTCTGGAAGGGAGAAGAGGGACCTGATTTAAACAGTGCAGACAATTCCAGGGCATTCCACTCAACCAGCACACTCTTATTATACCCTGAGCACTACTGTACAATTGACAATTAGCTATTCTCATTAATGCCTTGGGTTTGAACCAAATCCTGCAGGAAAATGCAGTTCCCTGTAACAGGCTGGTTAACTTTAGTACAATGCACACAAGAACTAACCCAGTGCTGTTCAAAAGAATGTAAGCAACGTGTGCAATTTAAAATTTATAGCCACATTAAAAAACATGATATATCAAGTGAAATTACTTTTAGTACATTTGATTTTAACACATCGAAATACAATTCTCAATGTGCAATAAATATAAACAAATTGATGGAATATTTATTTTACCTTTTTTCATATTAAGTCTTTGAAATCTGGGATGCATGTTATACTTACAGATCCCCTGAATTTGGACAAGTCACATTTCAAGTGGCTACTGTGCCAGAGAGTGAGTGCAGCTCTGGGAAAAGTCTCTACAAGAGAATGGGCCACCTGGGGCAGTCCTCAGCCACCAACTCCTGAGGGTGTTTAAGTCAAGGTTGACTGTCCACTTAGGGAAGATCTCATAGAAGGGATTCAAACAGGGGATAGAAAGGAGTCTGGATGGTCTCTCAGGAACTTTCCAATCCTCAAGTGACTATGTTTTGCCTACAATTTAAAGAGGTTCTTGCCCTGGCCAGTTTGGCTCAGCGGTTAGAGCGTCGGCCCGCGGTCTGGAGAGACCCGGGTTCGGTTCCCGCTCAGGGCACGTACTTCGGTTGCAGTTTGTCCCCGGCCCTGGTTGGTCGTGCGGGTGGCAGCCACTCGATGTGTCCCTTCACGTCGATGTTTCTCTCTCTCTCTCCCTCCTACTCTATCTGTACAAAAAATGGAAAAATATCCTCGGGTGAGGATAAAAAAAAAAAAAAAAAAAAAAGAGTTGATTAAGGGATTAATTACTAACCCCTCCCCCCAGTAATGTGGACTAACCATTATTTATATACAATAAAAGAGAACTTTTTTTAAAAAAAATAAATAAATAAAATAAAGAGGTTCGAACAAAGGGGCACATGGGCCAAGAACAAGATGACCTGCCACTGGGAGATGTCACTTGAGCTGGTACTGCAAAGAGGTAGCTGGAAGACAAGGGCGTTGGGTGTCATTTCCTGAGCAAGTACCAGAGCTTTATAAACACCATCACACTATTTTGTTTAATTTTCATGATCCCCTTGAGAGGCAGGTCTCTTGTAGACCCAACCCACACATAAGGGAACAGGGTCAGAGAGGTTAAGTAACTAGCCCAAGGGTCACAATGCTAGCAAGTGGCAGTATCTGGAATCAAACCTGTATCCTTCCTGATTGCACAGCCTGTGCTCATGGCCCTCGCTCATCACAGTGTCCCCCTAAGCCATGTCCGGGGACCTAGCAGGTGATCACTGAATGTTTGGTGAACCAAGACCTCGATGAAGAAGGAATGAGAAGGACTCTGATAGACAGAAGAGGGAAGGTACAGAAATGAATGAATGTGACACAGTTCCTTCACTGGAGGGTTGAAAAGCAACTTTTGAGGCCAGACTCTGGAAAGTCTCCAGCACTGCCCTATGACATCTAAAATGCATACTGGAGTCAGCTGATTATTCCATTTTAAATTTAATGGCAAGTCAACTGTGGTTATAAAAAACCCTGGAATCCCAATGGCTGGCTTCCTCTACTGGGAGAATTCTTGAAGGGACAGATATCAGATACCACATAAAAGAAAGAAAGAGAATATGAAGAAAGACCTGTCTTCTAAGAAGAGGAGTGGGTTTTTGAATAAGGAACACATCCCCACAATGAGCTATGCGCGTGGAGACAGAGAAAGATGTCAACTTACAACCACATACATCAAGACTTACCTCCTACCCCTCATCCTCACTCTACCCATCACTGGGGTTGCAGAAAAGGCCAAGTCCCCTGAGGGGCACCAAACATGCCATTCACCCTTCAAACCTGGTTTTCATGGGGGTCACACCACAGCACAGCAAAGGGACCCCGGCCAGGGGCCTCTGGGACTGTCCTGTTCTGCTCCACCATGCAGAACAGGAGTGGGGAGGCCATAGAAACTTCTCGGGCCACACAGTCACCCTGTGTGACCTCACAAGCATGTTTTCCCTCAAAAAATAAGATTCTGCCACCATGCAACCCCCACCACCCAGAGATGTTCCTTTCTCTGTCCCAGTCCCCACAAATCCTCCTGTCTCCCTCAATTGCCTCAAACCTCTTGCACCTCTCCAGCCCCTCAAGGCTCTGCTAATCCATGCTGTCAGGGGTTCAGCAGGCCCCCCATTTTTTTCCTCTATGTCTCCTATTTCCCCCTACACCCTGCCCCTCCAAATTTCCCTCACTCCCTGCTTCCCCAGCCTCCTCTGGACCTCCTCACCTCTCCCCAACTTCAGGGGCTTCACCCCCATGCCCAACTAGCAGAATTTTCTCAGGCTTCCCCCCCACAAATTCCCTCAGGGAGCCCCCTCCCCCTTCAGGGATCCCTCCCACATCCTCATCTCTCAGGCAACTCTTTCCCTTTTCCAGGTCTTGTATGGACTTCCTCACCTCATCCTCACTCCCAAGGGCCTCATTCACTCTGTTCTGGGTATGTGAGGACCCCTCCTCACCTTGATATCACTACTAGGGACACCTGACTCATCCTCTTCCCTCAGGAAACCTCTCCCCAACTATCAACCTGGATTCACTACTCAGGGACTCCCCCCTAACTCCAATTTAACCATTCAGTGGCCCCATACCCCATCTTTTTCCTGCAGGGACATCATTTCACCCTGAATCACTACTCAGGAGCCCCCCTCACCAAAATGTCGCTATTTGGTGCCCCACATCTCATTTATCCATAGGGCCCTCCCCTCACTCCGACCTCACTACCAGGACGCCCTCCCCACCGACCTCACCACTCAGGGTCTCCCCCACGTTCCATCCCTCCTGTCGGGGGCCCCACTCCTCCGATCTTCCTACTCAGGGGTCCCCACCCACCCACCCATCCTCAGCCCGTCCTGGCCCACTCACTCGGAGGCGCCCTCGCTGGTGGGGGATGGGCCCTCGGCGATGGCGGGGTTGATGGTGAGCGCCGGCAGCACCGGCTTCCTCCGGGCCAGCATCGGGGCTCCGCGGGCCGGCGGCAGCGGCGCCTCTAGCCGGGGCCCATAGGGGGCGGGTCGGGAGCGGGCGGCGCCGACACGATCCCGGAGCAGAGGCCGCGGCCTAGGCCGGCACCCGGGCGGCGAGGGCAGGAGGTGCTGCGGACCCGGGCCGCTGGGCGCCAAGGGGCGCCGGGGATGAGAGTGATGAGCTGCAGCTGCCGAGGCCGGACCGAGGCTGACGCTGCAGCCGGAGCCCCGGAGGCAGAAGGCGGGGAGGGGAAGCGATGAGATCGCAGACCAGCCTCTCGCGAGAGCCAGCGCCGGGAGCCGCGCAGGGCCCCGCCCTGTCCCTCGCCGGGGCGTCGGTGCACAGGCCGGTGGCCGCCTCCTCGAAGGGAAAAGGGGCGGAGACCTACCGAGGCGGTGCCCGGAGGGTGCGCGCTCGCTCACCACTCTCTGCGCCTGTGCGCACGCGCCTGGGGCGCTGGGCGGGGCGCAGGTGAAGGCAAGGTGAGAAGGAGGCAGCGGTAGGATTGAGGAGCTGGAGCAGGTGAGTAGGGGGTAAATCCGGTCCTCCCAGAGCCGTGTGGGTGCCGGATTGGGACTGCATGAGCCACTTCAATCTCCACAAGTTGTGGGAGACATCCAGAGTCAACTGAAGTCTTTTTGGCCAATTATGGACACACACACACAGCCCCCATCAACCCATAAGTAACCCATTCATTTGTGAAAGGGAGGTATTTAAAAAAAAATTTTTTTTAATCCTCACCCCAGGACATTTTTGCATTTATCTTCAGATAGAGCAGGAGTGAGGGAGGAAGAAAAAGAAACATCATGTGAGAGAGACACATCCATTGGTTGCCTCCTGCAGCACCCGGACCTGTCCTGATCAAACCTCAACCCAGGTATGTGCCCTTGACCAGGAATTGAACCTGAGAACCTTTGGTGCACAGGAGGACGCTCTAACCACTTAGCCACGTTCGCCAGGGCTAAAATATTTTTATTATGGTAAATATACATAACATAAAAGTTACCATTTGCCCTGGCCAGTTTGCTCAGTGGTTAGAGCATCAGCCTGCGGACCAGAGAGTCCCAGGTTCCGTTCCTGCTAAGGGCACGTTCCTGGGTTGCAGTTTGTCCCCGGCCCCTGTTGGGGTTGTGTGGGTGGCAAACACTCCATGTGTCTCTCTCACATCAATGTTTCTCCCTCTTTCTTCCTCCCTTCCTCCATCCCTCTCTATTTGAAGATACGTGCAAAAATGTCCTCGGGTGAGGATAAAAAAGAAAAAAAAAGTTACTATTTTTACAATTTTTAGTGTACAGTTCAGTGGCATTTAGTGCATTCACATTGTTGTGCAAACATTGGCATCATCCACTTCCAGGAACTTTTCCATCTTCCCAAACTGAAACTCTGCCCCTATTAAACACTAACCCCCAGCACTCCTCCCCCAGCACTCCTCCCCCAGCACCTGGCACCCACCATCTACTTTCTGTCTCTATGGATCTGACTCCTTAGGGACCTCCTATAACTGGAATCACACAGTATTTGTCCTTCCGTGTCTGGCTTATTTCACTCAGCATAATGTCTTCAAGGTTCATCCACGGTTGTAGTCGGTGTCAGAATTTCCTTTCTTTTTAAAACCGAATAATATTTCGTTGGGTAGATGGATCCCATTCTGTTGATTTGTTCATCTGTTGTAGACATTTGAGTGTTTCCACCTTTTGGTTATTGTGAATAATGCTTTGAACATGTTTGAACATGGGTGTACAAACATCTGTTCAAGTCCCTGCTTTTCTTTGTGTGTCTACTTAGAAATGGAATTGCTGGATTATGTGGTAATTCTATGTTTAATTTTTTTTTTTTTTATCCTCACCCGAGGACATTTTTCCATTATTTTGTTCAGATAGAATCGGGGGGGGGGGGGGGGGAGAGAGAAACATTGATGTGAAAGGGACACATCGAGTGGTTGCCACCTGCACGACCCAAACAGGGCTGGGGACAAACCGCAACTGAGGTACGTATGCTTAGTGGGAACCGAACCCGGGTCTCTCTGGACCACAGACTGAGCCAAAGCGGCCTGGGCTATGTTTAATTTTTTAAAATATGTTTTTATTGATTTTTTTTTAGAGAGGAAGGGGGAGAGAGATAGAAACATTGATGTGAGAGAGAAACATCGACCACACGCCCCCCACTAGGGATTGAGCCTGCAACCCAGGCACGTGCCCTGACTGGGAATCGAACCAGGACCTCTCAGTCCATGGGATGATGCTCAATCCATTGAGCCACATCAGCTGGGCCTATGTTTAATTTTTTAAGGAACAACTGTGCTGTTTTCCACAGTAGCTGCACCATTTTATAAGAAAGGATATTTTAAAGAAGGAAGTACACAGCACAGAATAAAGGACAGTCACTTAAATGGGAAAAAGTTGACTTTGTAAAATCCACCATATTGCTTTTCCCTTTGTCACATCTTTGAGCAACAGTGTACATTTTATGGTGGGGTGTACCTTTGTGAACCATGTGGGAAGAAACAGGGAAAGGCTCAGTCACTATTCTTTTCCAGGGTCCAGCCCACCTCCCCTGGTCCCTGGTCTCCCTGGCTCAGTCCTGCCCACTTCATGTCCTTCTGCCCCTCAGTTATTCTTTGGTTTGGTTTGGTTAATCCTCACCTGAGGATGTTTTTCCATTGATTTTTATAGAGTGGAAGGGAAGGAGGGAAAGAGAGAGAGAAACATCAAAGTGATATATGTGAGAGGGACACAGCGATTGGTTGCCTCCTCACCACACCACCCCGACTGGTGTTAGGGATTGAACCTGTAACCTTTGGTCCTCAGGCCTATGCTCTAACTACTGAGAAAACCAGCCAGAGCTCAGTTATTCTTTTTATTTGTATTTTCTTAATCCTCACCTGAGAATATTTTTCCATTTATCTTCAGATAGAGTGGGAGGGAAGGGGAGAGAGAGAGAGGGAGAAAGAGACACATTGACTGGTTGCCTCCTGCACGCCACCCAACCAGGGCCAGGGACCAACTACAACCAAGGTATCGAATTGAACCTTGACCGGAATCAAACCTGCAACTGTGGTCTGCAGGCCTACACTCTAACCACGGAGCCAAAGCTCAGTTATTCTTTTAACAGTTAATTTGCAATGCCTTTTATGTGCTAGATACTGAGGGCACCAGAGATACAATGTTTAAAAAAATAGATATATAATATACATATACATATTTGCAAAATGTGACAATGCTCTAAAAATGCAATGATGTAACCACAGCTCTTCCCTGATTAAAACTACTCTCAGGTATACCTGTTCCTCTGCTACAATCTGGGCCTTTTTAGTTTTGCTTCTCACTGCTTCCACTCACCCAAAATTCAGGAGAATGCTCAGCTGGCCTCAGATAATGCCATGATCTTTTCTAGCTCTGGGCATTTCCACTGTCCTTCTGTTCCGCAATTGATCTCTCTGGCATATTTTATTTTAGGCTATATATGCATCTAGTCTTTTTTATTGGGGTTTAGCTTACATAAAATGAATGCAGAGTTCTTGAGTGTTCAATTTCTTGAGCTTTTACAATTGTATGCACCCATGTGACCATTCCCAGAAACAAGACAGGGAACATTTACATCACTCCAGAGTTTCTTCAGTGCCCCATTCAGTTAATAATTCCCCTCACCCCACCTAGTAGTAGTGTGCTGGTAATGTTTAACAGTAGGCTTTTGAAATGAGAGAGAGAAACATTGATTTGTTGTTCCACTTATTTATGCATTCATTGGTTGCTTCTTGTATGTGCTCTGACTGGAAATCAAACCCCAAACCTTGGCATATCGGACAACGCTTTAACCAGCTGAGCCACCTAGCAATGGCCACATTTTTGTGGTATAAATATTTTCACCACAGCTGATTATCATGGAATTGGAAAGAATGTTAACAACAGGTACCTGTGAGCCAGGACAAGCTGACTTGAGCACACCGCTACCCAGAGACACCTTAGATTCTCTTTCTATCCACATAAATACATTTCGCATTCTAGAGCTTCATAGAAATAGAATCATACAGTATGAACTCTTTTATGTCCCCACTTCTTTTGCTCCGCACTATGTGAAAAAAAATTTTTTGTCTTTATTTATTTTAGAGAGAGAGGAAGGGAGAGGGAGAGAGAGAGAGAAACATTAATGAGAGAGAATATCGATTGGCCGCCTTCTGCACACACCACACTGGGGATCGGGCCCACAATCTGGCCATGTGCCCTGACTAGGAATAGAACCAGCGACCTCTTGGTGCACTGGTCAACACTCAGTCACTGAGCCACACAGGCTAGGCTCCACACAATATTTTTGAGATTCATCCAAGTGGTTGTATCTAACCATAGTTTTATTTTTCCTTGCTATATGATATTCCATAGTGTGTAGTTGGTGATTGCCCTTCCCAGAGAACCTTCCTGTGGAAGTTAAAGAGGTCAGGTCTTTTCTAAAAATCAGAATTTTCCATTCTCATCACTTCTTGGCCTTTTGGTTAAGATCAAGTGCAGAATTTTCAGTTGTCCTTGGTTCCTACTTGGGGTCTCAGCTCACACGTCACCTTTTCTATAAAGCCTGGTTCTCCTGCTTCCTGCTACTTCCCTGCATCTTGGCATTCCCAAGGCCCTCTTTTTATTTCTGGTCAATGGCTCTTGCTGCATTTTGATTCACATCACTGCTCTTTCATTTTGCCTTTCCTACTAGTTAGGAATGTTTTGAGGGCATGAAGATGTTGGATTTGTCTCTTTCTCTCCCTGTCCAGCTTCTTGGAGTTGAAACTTCACACATAAATGCTACTTGAATAAATGAAATGGGTGTTTCTGTCCTTAGGGAGATGCATTTCCTGCTAATTACCTGATGCATAGCACTTGTTATAAAACATGAGGTTTTATTATTGAGGTTACAGTACAGATGCACGCCCTCCACCTCCTCCTCTATCTTTATTAGTGAGCACATTTTGCTCTATAACTTCTCCCTGTTATATCTCTCTTTACTTGTCATTGCTTACATTCTTAGTACATTTGTTCCCTGGTCCCAGAGACTTGAGTGGCTCCTAAGTGACTTCTCCCACCCTCAGGAAATAAATCTTTAATAGCTTTGTTGATAGATTCAATCCAAGGTGACATTTATCTTGCTTAGGCACAATCTATCATTAATATCACATGTGTACACACTTTCTATCTCCAAATGCACCCTGAACTTTATCTCTCTCACCTGCGCAATGGATTAACTGAAGGAACGGCTGACCCCACCCTT